ATGTATAAGAAGTAATCAGAGAATCGCTATGGGAGCTTTTCTCGTTATTCTATCACTACAATAAATTTTTTTATTATTGCAATAAAATTATTTATCACTAAAATGTTAAATTTGTCACAATATATTTATCAACACACATTTTCGTCCTACTAGAATTCAAACTCCTAAAAATAGGATAGAATTTTACTAGGATTCAAACTCCTAAAAATATGATAGAATTTTACTAAGATTCAAACTCCTAAAAATAGGATAGAGTTATACTATGATTTAAACTCCTAAAGATAGAATCCACAAGCACTATAAATAGCCATTGTAACTCACTATTGTAGGACACGATTTACAGACAAAATACAGAGGAAAACACGAAAAATACAAAGGCAAAGTTATTGTAAACGATTCGAAAAGGAAATAAAAGGTAGTATTTTTTTTATTCGTTCATTTCTCGCATGTGCACATTATTTTTTTGAGATTTGGTTCGAATAACCCAAAACATGGATTGCACCGATGACCAAAAATGGGTGGGGTTTCGAAGTTTCGAACCTAGATCTACCCTGAGGCGTGTTCATTTTTTCCCCTTAATGCCTAATATCAACGTTAATTGTCTTTCAAATTTGACCCCAATCTTTATTTTTCTTTATATTAGTCCTTTTATTTATTGTATAGATATTTTTATTTATTTATTATTTACATTATTGTCATTATTTAAATATATATACGTATTTTTTTAAATGATTTTCAATTGATTTTTTTACACTATATATTATTATTATATATACATATATTTTTTATTTATTTATATTCATTTGGTTATTTTTTAATACTATATTTATTATATATATATATATATACTTTTTTTAAAATATTTTACTTATAAGCGTATTATTATATATATATATATATATTGTAATTATCTTTATTTAATTTTTTTTACTTTATCATTATACGTATATATGTATGTTTTTAATAGTTTATTTATAAGCCAATTATCATTATATGTGTACTTTTATATTTTGTTTATATATTTATTTATTTTTATTTTTGATTTTTTTATTTATATTATATTATATTTTCATATTACTATTATTATTGTTATGATTATTATTTTTCTATTTTACTCATATATATATATATATATTAATATTTATTTATTTATTTATTTATTTTACTTATTTTTATTCTTCATTTTTTTATTTTTTTATTTTTTCCCTCTAATACATCTTACGACTTTTTAAGGGTATTTTTGTCAATTAATCAGAGGTAAGTAATTCATGATCAAACTTTACCTTTTAATTTAAAATTACAATTTTTTTAATTAAGACAACTGGAAATTACGTAGTACCGAAAGGACGGTTCAAGGGTGCTAATCCTTCCTTGACCGTAACCGACTCCCGAGCCCGACATATTTCTGGTAAGACGCAGATCAGGTAAGAAATAGGGTATCCGATCAACCCATTTATTTTTAAATAAATGATCGGTGATGACTCACAATCCATATTTTTCAAGTCGAAGCCCAATCTCGGGGCCCAACCGAAAGACGGTTGTGACAATATTATTTTAAAAATATATTAATTTTATTTTTTTAAAATATTTATATTAAATTTATAAAAAATGGGTTGTCATTTTAAGTTAACTCTGCCAGTGCAAAGAAATGTGTTTTTGTAAAAGCAAGACCCAGAATGACATTACATTAGGAATGGCAACGGGTCGGGTTCGGGGCGGATTTTGCTCGCCCCGTCCCCGAACCCGAAATGAATTCCCGTCCCCGTCCCCGATCTCGACCCGATCCCCGACGGATTTTTTATCGGGGCACCCCGTCGGGGATTTTTTTGCCCCATCCCCGAACCCGACCCGAAATATTATACCCAAACCCGAACCCGAAAATATTTTATATATAATTAATATAAAAAATATAAAATATTATATATATAATTAATATAAAAAATATAAAATATTATATATATATATATTTATATAATCAGGACGGGTCGAGGCGGGGATACCTTGACCCGAACCCGACCCAAAAAAATCCCTGATACCCGTTCCGACCTGATATCATTCAACCCAACCCGACTCGACCCGAACTTAACCGAGTTTCAGATTTCCCCGTCGGATTCGGGTCATACTGCCATTCCTACATTACATATAGCACAGAGCGCTCATAGAATGAATAATATGAGTTAAGAGATAGCGTTTTGTTGTTTATATCGCCTCATTTTTCTTGTTCTTCTCCTCATTGTATGTTTTTTGAAATTTGAGGATCGACTAGTCTCACCGTTACAACTGCAATTGGGCTGCCCAAGAAGCTTGCGACTGCGCATGCAAGTTCTAAAACTCGATCTACAATCGTTGTCCAAAAATAAAACAAGTGCATCATAGGGAAATTTCAGGAAGATGTGGCGATATTGATTATTTTTCCATTGAAGTTTCTTCTCGACCAATTCCTTTCTGTCATGAGGTGTCCACGTTCATTAGTAACATTTGAGCTATGGTGGCTATAGGCGATTTACCCTTCTAATTTAGACGAGAGCCACAATCAGTAATTTTATGACAATAGACTGATCTTTGGATGATCAAATACGTCTTATGCCCTTAGAGAGGAATAGAAGAATAAGCAATGGAATCCTCTTTTTTCGGTCTTTTATGATATCTTTTATATCAACACTTAATATTGGTGTCTGATCTAGTGTCATGATGGCTACTTATAGCCCGACAAATCAAATGAATATAACACATGACAATATATTTGACTCTAGCATATCACATGGATTCATAAGATGTCACTTCAAAAGTTATTATTGTCCGAAAGGTAAGATGTCATATCCAATTGAATATTCTATTTTAATTTTTAAATGATATATAAATTTTTTTTATTTTATATGTTTTTAAATGGTATAGACAAAATTCATATTCAATGTTAAAAAATTACAAGAAATTTAATTTACATAATTAACAAAAAAATAATCAATCCATAAAATTTAACTTGAATTGCATTTTAGCTTTACTAAAAACATAAATTACAAAAATAATTTATGTAAGTTTATGTCGGATATTTTTCAGTAAGATGGGCATGGGTTCATGTTCAAGAGGTTACAAAGGGGTGAATTCAAAATTTTTGGGGTCAATCACTATCGATGATAGTGGGTGACGATAACAACTAAGAATGGATGACAACAATGGTAAGTGGTAGTCGATGACGTACGATTTTGATCGAATTAATTGATTAAATTGATATATTATTTAAAATTTAGAGATAAATTGATATTTTATCTATAGTTCATGAGCTAAATTATAAATTAACTAAAGTATCAGAAGTTAATGATTCAATATTAAAATATAACAGATTGATAATGTAAGTAATCATAATGTAATTTTTTAAAAAAAATTGATGCTAAAGAGTAGCAAAATTAAAATAGAGATAACCAAACTTTGTTAATTACCCTTTTTTATTTTATATTAATGAAATTGATTTGTGATTCTATATCTGATCCATTTAAAAATATAGTAACTTATTATGTCGATGTGCAAGATAACTTACTCATCGATTTAGTTTTGTCTACCACCCACTTCTAGACACGTGGCAATTTTTTTTCATTTCATTTTATGTTAACTCAGCTTTGTCGTTCTAATTTTAAAAGTCTCATTTTTTTTTATAGAACATCCCAGTTTTATGAAACTTCTTTGAAGTTTCCACGTTTTTGTTTTTTTTTTCCTCTTATTTTATTTTAAGAAAATATATTGGTGCCTTTTCGTTCTTTTCAAATTCCACAAAAACATAACACAACTGGATAGACATAATACGAACAACAATATATAATTTAATAAAAAATAAAATCACATGTCATTAATTTCTCATTTGTACATGATTTTAACAATTATTAATTATACGACATCTCTTAAATATTTTTCACATTTTCATCACTTTTTGACAAAAAAAAAATCACCGTATACATAAAATATTATATATCAATTATCATTTTTCAAATATTATTCGATCTAATACCTAAGAGAGGAAGACGCGTTCGACAAAATACATTTTAGGAGGAATGTGCGGTTGATAGGAAGCACCTTAGCCGAAAATCGCTAATACCTGATAAAATCGCCGATACTCCTGGAAGGCGCATCCCAAGTGCGCACCTTAACAGGGTTTTTTTGACAATCCTAGAAGGCACATCCCATGGGGCGCATCTTCTCCCTCCACCAAATTTTTCTGCCTATTTCCTCAACCGGCTGCCTATATAAACCCTATTCTCAACTTACATAAATCACACTTAAATATATCTACTTACTATCTACTTTCAATCTAGTAAGGTATAATTATTTTTATAATTTATTTTATATCTTATTTCTATCTATTTTCAATATAGTAAGCTATAATTATTTTTATAATTTATTTTTTATTCATTAAATTTTTTTATTATTTAAGTAATTAATTATTTTATTTTAGTGTTTGTTTTTTATTATTTTAATATTTAATTGTAAAATTATTTAGTTAATATTTATTAATTGCAGTTAAAAAATGAAAGGCGCGTTGTTGTGATTGGACGTTGATCATATTTCAAGTTATTTTTTCGATACGATAAGAATACGAAATTATATTCGTTTAAAATTATGAATATTATGAAATCGATTATATATTATTTAAATTATTAGAATTTATTTATTTAAATTTATTTAAAAAATTTTGAAATAGTAGTTCAAATTTTAATGGTTAGAATTTATTTGTTAGGAAAATGACCATATATTATAAGTTTTTATTCGCAATAAGAAGAAGGAAACACCGAGGTGTATCTGGCCATATTTGTCTATGGATGGATTCGATTACTTAGCAAAAATTAAAAGAGTTTGTAAACTTGAACCCCTGATTTCTGCACAAATTGAGAGATGGAGGCCAGATACACACATGTTCCATCTACAATGTGGGGAGTGTACCATTACGCTATATTATGTTTCAATGCAACTGGGGCGCTTGGTCGATGAAACTGTCATTTTTGGTGTGGTAGATGATTATTGGGGGTTTATTCAGGGAGTATCTTGGAAGTTGTCCGCCCAGTTTCAACGGTGGTCGAATAACATTAGGGTGGTTGAAAAGTGAATTTAAAGAGTTGTGCGAAAATTATTCGAAGGACGAGGCAAAAGCATTTGCCTGGCATATATACTACAACTTATTGGAGGTATATTGATGCCTGACAAATCTTGGAACCAGATCCATTGTATGTGGTTGAGGCACCTGGTCGATTTTGAAGTAACCGATATATTGAGTTGGGGTCTGCAGTGTTGGCATTTTTGTTTAGAGGAATGTGTCGGGCTACGAATTATAAGAAGAATGTTATTTGCGGTTTTTTCATGCTTCTTCAATCGTGGGTATGGTAATCGCATGCCTTTTTTTTGCCTGATCGTGAATGAGTCATATGTCTTTCTGTTACATTCAAGGTATCAATAATAAATTTATTTTTAAATAATGTTTTCGATTATTATATAATGACATATATATATTTTATATTAGGTGGTCAAGTAATATGAAAAATCATCGTGATATCTCACAAGAATTACGATACCGATTTATATCTCTAGCCCTTCAAATCATATGGGGACACCACTTAACTTTCAGATGCCACCGCAGCCGGTTCAGATGCCATATCCGCAAGTCCAGATGTCATATCCATTGATTTAGAAGCCACCACCATTTGGTTACGTACAGAGCCCACAGGGTTTTATGACACCCACCAGAGGATATTTTTTGACTATGTTTACAGATCCAACATTTAGTTCCTACACGAATTATGTTGCGGATGGTCCTCCACCACAACTACAGTATGCGTCATAGACACTGATGTCTGATTTTTCATAATTTTTACAGTTCTCAATAAGTGGTGGGATCGTTAGTCATACACATCTAAGATCCTTATTCTACAGAGGTCATATATCGATATTTAACCCTTATCGAGACAATGTTGTTGAGAGTGACGATGACGATGAGAAAGAGGAGGATGAGGAAGAGGATGAGAACAATGATGACGACGAAGAGGAGGATGATGATGACGAAGATAAGGACGACGAGGAGTAGCATATAAGAAGAAACCCTCCGACAAGTAGACGACCACCACCCTGTGGAACACATTCTAGGAGACATTGATGAATATGAAACCATGACAATATTTTTATTTATTGTGTGTTTATTATGTATTTGTCTCTTATTTTATTTTTTTATTATGTATTTATATGAAACAATATTTTTCCTCTTAATTGGTTTTTGCTTCTTATTTTGTTTCGTTATTTTGTATTTATATAAAGTAAGTTTTTGTATGATGTTTATTGTATTTTTGTGAACAAGGACAAATAAGACACAATAATTTGGGTAGGCTCGTTTTATAGGATCGCTTCCTAAGGACTATATATTTGCGAGGTGAAAGCTAATTTTAATCTATTCAGGAAAAAGTTTTAATTGTTTAGCTAGGATGACTACTATTCAGACAAATGTTTTTTATTGCAAATATTTAAGAATGTCTTTCAACAAAAAAAAAATTACTTGAAGAGTTGAATGTTAAAATAGAAAGAAAGGTTAAACTCAAGAGGAAAAGAATAATCTCTTTGCTATATTATAGATTTCCAGTATCATTTAAAAAGTTTATTCTAAGCGATGATATCAACCTTTGTGGTATGATTGAGACATACTACTCTCATTTTGTATCTCATGTGGATTTGTTTGTAGAATGATGATGCTGATGATGATGCTTTGAGTTCAACTATCCAACAAATTAAGTAGAATGAGTTTGAGAACACAAAAATAGATGATGAACACCTAGAAGCATGGTTCAAGCGCAATTGGGCATCGTAATATCATTAAGAAAAGTCTATTTTAGGTGTATGTGTATGCTTTTATTTATTGTTTTATGTGTATGTATATGCTATTATTTACTATTTAAGGTCTGTGAAAGATGTATGGTATTTTTGGTTCGTTGGTTTGGTATGCTTCATGTCATGTTTAATAGTTTGTTGTTTAATGTAATATTTATGGTTTGTTGTTTTTATAGTTCACATCTATATCAAATCTCATATTGAATTTAATTAGTCTTACTAAGAATAAAATCCAATACAATATTGCTTTCATGATTCCAGAAACAATAAAAGCAACCTCTAACGTGTCATCATATGACCAATATGTTTGTGGAATCTTTTCGATGTACGAAATTGAGAATATTTTGGCAATAGTTGAGATAGTCATGTTTCTGCAGTGGAAAAGATCTTTTTGCTTCATCTTTCTATGCATTGGGTTTAGCTTGGACAACACTTGATATCCTTCTTACAACCTCTCTTTTATGTGAAGCAATCGTATACCTAAAGTATATGTTGCTTTGATGACAACTATGGTAGAGGTTTCCTTCAAGATATGACAGCCAACTTTAACATTGACACAATATTTGGAAAAAAACACTGAACTATACATTCCCTAAACAATATATCTATAAGTCTTTCGTACGAGTATCCATTTAGAACGATCCAAAGGTTTCAATGCATATCGATGAAGTCAAACATTTCCAAATATGAATTTGTAATTTAATTCCAAACAAAAGTCCCAGCAAGTTAAACGAAGGTGGAGAATGTCCTCAATAGAATTAAAAGCAAGGCAATGTAAAATATCAGCTAATATATCATTTGAGAGATAAGATAATAAATATTTAGCTTCAATTGAAAACGATGGAGAAGTCTATGAAAATGATAGATAACATAATCAAAAAGATACACAGAAAAAAAGTACTGAGGACCACTTGCTTAAAGAAATACACATTTCAATGGAAGCGCTTTCCTCATTTTCAGAGAATTTTTGCTTTGTCATATTGTTTCATCCCATCCGAAATGAAAGGCATATTCTAGGAGAAGTGTTTTCTATTATTATTCAGAGAATCTATACCATGTCATAGTGTTCCATCCCATCTGAAATGAAAGCACGTTCCAGGGGAAGCGTTTTCCATTATTATTCATATAATTTCTGTCATGTCATAGTGTTCCATCCCATCCGAAATAAAAGGCGCTTTCTAAGGGAAATATTTTCCATTATTATTCAGAGAATCTCTGCTATGTCATAGTGTTCCATCTCATCCGAAATGAAATGTACGCTCCAAGGGAATTATTTTCCATTATTATTTAGAGAATCTCTGCCATGTCATAGTGTTCCATCCAATCTGAAATGAAAGGCGCGTTCTAGGGGAAGTATTTTCCATTATTATTCAGCTCATCCGAAATGAAAGACATTTTCTAGGGGAAGTGTTTTCCATTATTATTCAGAGAATCTATGTCATGTCATAGCGTTTCATCCCATCTGAAATAAAAGTCGCGTTATAGGGGAAACATTTTCCATTATTATTCAGAGAATCTCTGCCATATCATAGTGTTCTATCCTATCCGAAATGAAATGCATGTGTTCTATTATTATTAAGAGAATCTCTGTATTTCATATAATTAACATGAATTGTTCCCTGACCCTCAATATCTTAAACTCTTCAATCCTAAAACTATGCATCTTAGAAATCTCAAACTCTCAAACGTGTAAACTTTCAAACTTTGAAACTCTCAAACTAAGAAAATGACTCATATTTCAACTATTGTTTACTATGATGAAAAAATTAAGGAAGATGAATACAGGGTTATTTTCCAATCAGATCATTATATCCTTCTATCCTTTAGGAGAAACATAAATCTTCACGATTTAATCACAAAAATCTCAAGGAAGGCTCGTGTTGGAAACAATAGAAGATTGGCTACACTTTAGTACAGATTTCTGACTGATATTTTTCCGTTAACATATACATCGTTCAATCTCTCAAACAATGATAATATGATGGTTGATATTTCCAGTCAAAATTCAAACTCTATTACATAAATGTATGTCATTTTTGTTGGCGTGCATCTAATTTGGGGGTATGTCCTTATCCTTCCACTATGGCTTGCCTAGATCCGTTGATCAAGTTGACAGTCCAACTTAAACAATCTGTAATGATTTCACGTGATTAATGGCTTACCCACCTCCTATTAGCATATCATCAAGTTCTAGGGGAAAACATTCATCTGCCACTTTTTTCAACCTCAATATGGAGATGTCTTCCAATTTCAGGGGGAGACATTCATCTGCCAGCACCTTCGACCTCGATATGACAATGTCTTCCACACAACACTCGATTCATAACCCATATGGTGACATCTCTTCAAGTTCCAAAGGAAGATATTCATCTGTGAACTTGTTTGAACTAAACATCGGAGTCACAGAAAAACCCTCATCTCCTCCGAAAAAACCTCTTCGTGAGCCAGGAGCAGATGGTGCTGAAATTGGATTATTCTTTGAATCTGAGTCACCACAATTCATCATGGACTCTGATGATGATGAGGATGAAGTTCCTACAAATATGGTATAATACGAACCTCCAACACATATGTATGAAGTTGACTATGATGCGATGTACGAGCCAAAATTTCCTGATATACCAAATTTTAAAGACTATGGGAGGCATTCATCAGTTAATGATGGTGATTTACATCATGGAATTGAGTTCACATCTAAAGAAGAAACAATGATGATGACAATTAAGAATTACAATATTCGTAATTCAGTTCAGTCCAGAGTTGACTGATCTACCACTAAAAGTATGTCTGTTATTATGTCTAACGTGATAACAGTTGCAACTAGATGGTTTGTGTTTCAAAGAGGAATATGATCGGCCGATGGGAACTAACAAAATACAGCGATCCCCATACATATTGTGCACAGGGGATCAACAGGATCATCCAAACTTGGACTCCAACGTAATTTGCCAAGCCATCATACCCTTGGTCAGAGTAAACTCCCACATACCTATTGCAGTACTGATTTCTACAATATAATCTCAATATGGGTACACTGTCTCCTACAAATAGGCATGGAATGCAAAACATAATGCTATCGTAAAACTACACGGCAAATGTGATTCATCTTACAACAAACTACCCAATTGGTTTAATCTGGTTCAATGATTGAATCCTGGGACAATAGTTGACTTCGAAACTCTCCATGCCTACCACAATGATCGAGTTCTTTGAGATCGATGCCAATTCCATCGTGTTTTTTGGACTTACCCATAAGGCATTAATGCAGTGAAATATTATAAACCCATTGTCCAAATTGATGGTACATTCTTATGTGGAAAATACAAGCAAGTTTATTAATGGAAATTGTCCAAGATGGTAATCGTAACATTCTTCTCATTGCCTTTTCCCTTGTTGAAGGAGAAGATACAGAGTCTTGGGTTTTTTCCTAAGAAATCTATGGTTACATGTTATCACGAGGGAACATATTTGTATCATTTCAGACCGAGGAGCTGGGATCAAAGCAGCGATGGACTCTTTAGGTCCAATGTGAAACCCCTCACACGTCCAACATCGTCTCTGTATCCGACATATTATTGTAAACTATTATGGCAGATATAAGAAGAATGATGAACGGCAATTAATTATACGCATGGTATGTTACATTTTTCTTAATTTTATTTCTCACTAATTTTCATTTTTTATACTAACTAATTCATTTGGCTTAGATTTCGAACTCTCACCTCAAACGTTTGAGGTTATGCTTCAAGAATTGTGAGGAAAAAATGAACATGAATACAATTACATCAGTGAAATAAACAAAGAAAAATGGACAAACGTATACGATGATGGATATCAATATGGACATATGACAACCAACTTGGCTGAGGTAATCAATTCAACCTTAAAGGGTTGTCATTTACTAGTAAATGCTTTGGCTAAAATGACGTATTTTTTTGTTTGGGTCAACCTTTTTCCAAGCTCGAGGGTCAAACTCTTACTTGGATACAAAACGGTCATGTTTATCACCCATAATTAGTAGCAAACCTGTAGCAAAAGGTTGCAGCATGAAACATGTCTGTAATAAGCTTTTCTTGCACCCAAGAACTATTTCAGGTCACAGAAATGCCACGACTTCTGTAAGGGATTGAATCTAACTCTTTCAGAGTTAATCTAAGAGATAAATTATGTGACTGTGGGTTTTTTCAAGCTTTAAAGTATCCATGCTCC